GGACGGTGGCACCTGTAGTCGCAGCTACTCAGGAGGCTGAGGCAGGAGGATCGCTTGAGCCCAAGAGCTCAAGTTCAGACTAAGCAGCAGAGACCCCATCAGGAAAGAAGAAAGAAACAGAGAATTTCTTCAAAAGAGAAATGGGAGAAGGGAAGGCCACTGTCAAGTGCTTGCATTGAATTGACTGCCAAGGTCACACTCCATATCCCAATCCAAATGAACACATTTAGACAACAATGTAACGAGGGAAAACAGTTGACTACTTTGTTGTCCCAAACTACCTTTGCCATTCGTCTTGGATCCCTTGGAAATATTATGTAGAGCATCCTGGTAATACTTCCCATAACCTTGGGAATCTTGGATCCAAAGCCCACACAACAGGGAAATTTTGTTTTCCAACCGCAAGGAAAATGCACTTGGCCTTCTTCAGGACAATTTGTAAACAGAGAAAAACCACCCCCTTAAAGCATCAGGAAGGCAGCTATACTTGCCACAAGCGGCATTCCCGCTTTCCTGGGTATCGGCTTGAAAGGGCATATAAAAGATGCGGAAAGGCAATCCCTGTAAAATTTTTGATAAGTATCTTGGAGCACGGCAAGGTGTGATACAGGCCAGCCACGCATAAATTCTCAGCATCCCCCGAAGAATGAATGATTGCAAGCATGGCCTTCTTGATGATTCCCAACGTAACATTCTAAGTGCAGAGATACTGAAGAGTCCTCCCAGGACCCCTAGAATGCCTTGGCATCAGCAGGAGTGTCTGAGCATCACACACCTCGAAACGGGAAAAAGCATCCAGAGTGGAGTAGATACAAACTTTGCTGTGCAATTTGGTCCAGAGGTAGAGAGATCAAATTCCCACAGGACGCCATGAAGCAATGGGGTCATGTGCAACTGCCATCACACAAGCCATAATTGTACAGAGGATACATCCTATGGTGGCAAAACCGACCAGGCACTTGGTGATTGCGCCATTGATGACGGGGTCAAATGGTGGCAGCGTGCAACGTACTGCAACGACACAAGACATGGGAGTTGGGCCCTTGTCGGGACGCACCGCCCATGGGTGAGCAGACCTACAGGGAATTCCATTATATTGAGAAAGGAGACAGTTTGTCCTGCTGCTTTGCTGCAGGAGTACAGCCTGTTCGGAAGCCTTCCAGAAGGGCCATTTGGCAGTACTTACTACCAAAGCCTTTTAAATGCATAGACCTTCAAACAGGCTGTTTCCACTTCTGGGCATTGGCCCCAAGGAATAATAACTGGCCAGAAATATTTAGCCCACAAAGATGGGCATCACAGTACTGTTGGTAATATTCAAAAATTGAGAAATAAATCAAGTCCAACAGTAGGGCTCGGTTAGATAATTTTATGCATATCATGCATGGAGCCTAATGGCCGAATAAAAATGTAGTTGGAAAATAACTAAAGTATCCAATAATTTTGTAGTTGGCTCTGTTTTCAATTGGCATGTTTTCAAGGTCTCATGCAGTTATACATGTAGAAAGTTTGTCCCCACTTCATTGCTGAATTGTATTCCCGCTGTATAGATAACATATACCAAGTTTATTATCACCGGTTTTTTGATGTTTCCCAGTTGTTCCATGCGAATGGTTATTACGAATAAATGCTGGCAAATGAACATTGCCATAT